CTCTCTCTCTCTCTCTCTCTCTCTCTCTCTCTCTCTCTCTCTCTCCTCTCTATCTCCTTACGCGAAGGCAGTTATCTCCCGCGGGGTTCGATCCCCGTGGCGTTTATGATTTACCGGTGCAGTCGGCTTTCTTTCGCCGTTTCTTACGCGAGCCTCGCGAGATATATCTCGTAGCGCGAGCGCTTTTATTGCTTTATGCCGAGCCGTGCGGGCCGCGGGGTGCCTTCAGACGCCTCGATAACTGGGTCTGAGCTGCATCCTGGTAGCCTCTGAACAAGACCTACCGTATCCCGCGAGGAAAGGCAAAGGCCAGAGAAGGAGGTAGAGAAGTCCCGCAGGGATATCCTTCAGACACCTTGTCGGCCGAGGTCGCGTTGCATCGCGGTGGTCTGGAAACAGACGGACAGGCGATATGGTCAGAGTGTTCTCTATCGTGCGCCACACCGCGGAATCTAGTCGCGGAAACGCGTCGCAAACTCTATCGGAGTCGGCGTACTTATTTCGATGATTATCATTATAGTTATTTAATTGCACGACTCCTCGCTAATCGTGATTGAAGCGGCAGCGGCGATCATGGTCGCCGCGATGACACGCAATAAAGACAATCGCACGTTTGTTTCGCAATTTATCCGGGCAGACAGATGGATTCGAATTCAAATAACAATAATTATAAATAAACTAGATTGAATTGCGAAAAAAGAATATAAGACGTGAGACGTGTTTCTGTTTTTAAAAATTTATTTCCGTGGACGTTTAAAGACTATTCATACCGTGCAGAAAGAATCGTGCAAATCGAGGGAGACAAATATAATTCCGATAACAGAGTGAAAAATATCCGAGAAAGAATACTCCGACTACCACCGCACGTTCGTTTCCTAAGATTCGACGATAGAATTCGGTCCGATTTCGTCCGAACTCCGTTCCCCGAGTTACGGTAGAACGCGCACACCTTTTGGAGAGGATCCGATCGGATCGGCGGACGCGAAGTCACTGACGCCCGGCTCGAACTGAGTGGAGTGTAAGAGGTCCACCGGCACCAAGAGCCGCACGCACACACTTGCCGATGAGTCGTGTAGCCATCGCTGGTACCGTGTGCCACCACCTCTACTGCCTCGCTGTCAGTGCCAGCAATACCGGCGGCCTGAGCCTCGCCCGCGGAGTCCTCCGTACCGCCGGTTAACAGAATACGCGCGCCTCGTCCGACCTACGTGGACGTGGGTTTATTTCAATATGGGTCCTATTGTTACTCGCTGTGAGGAGCTGTTACCCCACAGGAGCGCGGCGCACCGCCCTCGATACTCTCTTCCTGCCTAGGAGCCCGTAATAATCACCCGTAGTAGCCGAGTCAGTCTCTGTGTATGCACAGTAAAGACGAGGCACGAGGAGCTGACAATTGCGGCGTGCTGAGATTAAATGGCAGCTGATCAGATCGTGCCTGGGATCAGAAGCTACCTCCCGAGACCGCGTAGATCAATCTTGGGGAGGTAGAGAGGAAGGAAAGAAGGATCGAGGCGGGCTGCCGATCGTTGAGCTTCGTTAGATCGTCTCTGTTTAAGTTTATAAGCGCGTTGCCACGTTCTCTTTAGCATTAGGGACAGACGCTTGACTACAATTCGAGCTCTTCCGTGTGAGTTTCTTGATAATTAATTTCGCTTTCAACGTTGAGCAATTTCATTCCGCTCGACGCGACGGACGATTCGGGAACTTAAACCGCATTCCGATAAAAACGCATTCGTCCCGATCAATGACGTACGTTTCTGTAAAAAAAAAAAAAGAGAAAAAAAACTTTGACTAAGATGTTAAACATGTGCGAATTCCTTATACGGCTCCTTATACTTAAATAAAACGAGCCCAATGCAGTTCCTATATTTGGTAACACTTGCGTGTGAGATTCAGCGAGGACGATATCGTATGTGATAGCCTTTTTGCGCGGGCTTCGAATTTATATATCGCTTCGCGCCTCAATGCGGTGCGCTCGCGCGTTCGGCGTCGCGGATAAGATCGTAAAAATTACGAGCAAACCATCGTGATTTCCGAGTGGGTGGAAAGTGGAACGACCTTGGCTTTAATTTTTGTTGGAGGTACATTAGCGATGCGAACGTCCGACGCGTTACATCATTACGGGTTTCTCTCTCACGCGCTATGGCGATCCTTTTTATGGAAATCACTCAGACCGTGTACAGTAAGAACCTTAAATGTCGTAACATTCACTAGACTTTAATCCTATTAAGCAAATGAAAATGTGTCTGTACTACATATGAATAGAAAAGAGCAGAAGGACATAAAAAAAATTTAGTAATACACAAATAATTTTTCAGAGTTTGTTTCTATTTATTCTTTTTTTTTTTCATTTACATAATTTTTAAAGGGAATAGGAAATCTCGTCTTTTCTCGTCCGTGGAGATTGCGTTCACGGATCTTCCTGCATACTACGCAACTGTTAATGTTACTCCAGGGAAATATCAGCACGACAATTACACGAGTGCACGATCGTTTGTCGGTCGACAGACGGAGGAAATTGCTGGTTTTGCTACTGTTAAATTTGCGGGGGAAAGCGTTACGCAATGCGAATACGCAATGTTCCATTGCCGATGCTCTTGTATCTAACCAGTCCAATCGTCATCGTCATTGTCATCGTTGTCGCCGAGCGCGAAATGATTCTCATTTCGCCGAGGCTCGCAAAACGCTTGCCGCATGGATTTCGAGCCGCTCGTGAAACAAACGCGAATTTCTGCCTAAGTTCTGGGAATACTGCGAGCGGAGATTGTCGCCGCAATTTACGTCGTTTTGCTCTGCGGGATGCTAACGGTCCCGGGTACGATATTCGCGAAATACACAACGTGGATCCGTATCGCGCCGTTCGCGATAACATCAAGTCCGACGGTGTGGATTACGGTAATTTCTCACGCGGCCGTGTTACGTGGATTAACGAACAAATATCTTGTTAATAGCAGAATGTAAATGATACGTGCCACGCCGCTCTATCGAATGAGAATTTCACAAAAATTGCTGAATATCACGCGAGCAGCCAAGCGTACAGGGGAATGCCATTCGAAGCTGCTAACAAGATCGAAGAAGTGGTGAGAGATCCTGAAAAAGTTGCACCACAAAATGGTGCGTATCTCGTTGCCATAACATGTCACGATCGCTGCAACCTGCGTCTTTTTTTTGTACCCCGGCCGAACAAGTTCCTCTTCGTTTGGTGCGCCTTCGATATGATTAATTGAATTCAATTTAATTGCTTACTCATTTCCAATCGGAATTTTCTCACGGATGTTCTCAAGTTTAATCCCGGTTTGAATAAAACAGTTTGAAATTCGGTTTCCATTGAGATAACAGCGTACGTAACTTATACGCGGGCATTTATTAATCAAAATGACAATATAATGCGGGGACAACTAAATAGAATTAGAAGCTGAATCAGATTTTAAACTAAGCAGTCGTTTGCTGACTCACTTCCACACTCATTTCAATTTACTCCACTAACTCCTGAAGTCGTCAAGGAGCACGGCTGTTCTGCGCAATCATACTTCCTTGTATTACCTTGTAGCGCAAGTTTTTTACTTCAATCTCTGACTCTATCCTTTCCAATTCTCTATAATCCATCTACTATATCACTAACATCTATTTTTACGTTAACACATCGGAGTGATGACTATCCGGCCTATCAAGATTTCTCCGATATGTCGTACCGTCAATCCCTACGTCCTCGACGGAGATAAGAAAAGAAGACTCGAAGAAACGAGCTTTTTAACGAGGCCGGAATTACAGCAACGAGAGCATTTCCTCCTCTCATCTGACGCGATGTTACATCGCGCGAAAAGGCATGGCAGCGTATGCGAAACACGGGCTTATTAATACGATCGGTGCGGCGACGCGCGCTGGTTCATTTAATTCTATATTTACCGCGGGCACGTTTAGTTAGAGCGGCGTACTACATATAAGTAGACGCGTACTAATCTGTGGAAAGGATCAGTCAAGGCGAGCCGGAGGGTCCATCGGCGAGGAGGAGAGATCTCCGCGAAGCGATCTT